TGTACAATACGCGCTGTAGGAGGAAGGGAGCGGCTTTTTGTATTATTGGGGCGCTGGTCGAGAGTAGCCTGTCTAGTTCGCACAAAGGCGCTCATATGTATGTGCTGGGACGGGCACGTTCGTTCGCACGCGCACACACACACACACACGCACACACACACACACACACACACACACACACACACACACACACACACACACACACACACACACACACACACACACACACACACACACACGCACGCACGCACGCACTCCTCCCCTGCTGCAGTTAGCATCCGGGATCGATGATAAGAACGTTGTTGGAGCCGTGGGGAATGCCGTAGATGATGCCGTTGCCTGCAAGTACGCCATCGAACCAGTTGCCACGGCCCGCGGTAAAGCCTGCAGCGCTCGTGGTGTCAATGGTTTTGCTGTCAGGGTCGATCACGAGTGCCGAGGACGTGGCGTATGGGGTGGCGATGATGCGCTGCGTGGAAGGGACGAACACGCCCCCGAGCCACTTGCTACCGCCTTCCGGCAGGGAGGAGATGGTGCTGGTGTCTGTGCTGTTGTCTGACGGGTTAATGATGAGGACAGCATTGGATTCGAAAGGAATGCCGAAGATGAGCCCGTTGCCCGCAAGCACGGTGCCGAACCAATTGTTGCTGAAGAGCTGGAATCCGCCCAGGGAAGTGACGTCCGCGGTGTTTGTGGCGGGGTTGATGATCAGGACCGCATTGGCTTGGCGCGGCACGCAGTAGATGAGGCCGTTGGCTGCCTGCGCGCCGCCGTACCAGCGATAGCCACTGCCCACGACCCTATCGATGGACGTCATGTCTGTGGTGTTTCTGATGGGGTCCAGGATGAGCACGGACGATGCCGTCCAGGGAATCACATAGATGAGCCCACTGTCTGCGAGCACGCCGCTGACCCACTTGCCACTGCTCGAGGGCAAGCCGCCCAAGGTTGTGTTGTCGACCGCGTTGGTGGCTGGGTCAATCACCAGCACGGCCTGCGCATTGTGCGGGAACGCGTAGATGAGCCCGTTGTCCGCCTGCAAGCCGCCCGCCCACTTGGCACCGCTCTCCGGAAGCCCTGTGATGGTGGTCACGTCGGCTGTGCCTGTTACTGGATCAATGATGAGCACGGCTGACGCCTCGTATGGGATGCCATAGATGAGGCCCGATGCGTGGTCAAGCACGCCGCCAATCCACTCTGCGACGTTTTTGCGAGTGCCGAGGCTCGGCACGGGGATGGCAGTGTCGTCAGCTCTGGGGCTGATGGGCCCAAGGGCTTTGCACAACGTGGCGGTCATGTTGTCAAGCACATCCCCCTGCTGCTCGTTCCACGCCGTTTGCTCCTCCAACGCCTGCTGCAGCTGCTGCAGTTTGCCAACGTGCGCACGCACGTTGCCAAACAGCTCGGTCGTGTCCACGCCGTTTACCACCACGCTTTGCTGCTCTGGCTGGCTCGTGTTGATGTGAAGGATGCCCAGCTTGTCCTCTTGAAACACGACTTCTCCCAGGCACACACACTGCTCATGGTGCAGTGGCGCAACCAGCACGGCGACAGCCAGCACCGCCACCAACATGACAGCAAAGTCGCACAGACGCAGCAGGAGGACCGCTGCCACCACCGCCATCTTTGCTGCTGCTGAGGTACGGAAAACTTATGTGCATCTTGAACACTTTTCCAGGCAAACAACAAGGTAAATTTTCACTTTGAGCACATGGATGGTGGCAAATTTGACGTTGGGGGAGAGGACAGCGAGCGCCAAAGATTCGAAACAACAGCAGAACAGCCCAGCAAGCAAGCGGAAGCAACACAGCCACTGCAGCAACCCAGGTGTTGCCGGAGTGACAGCGAGCGACAAGAAGTGACGTGAAGCAAGCAAGAGTAAGCAAGGGCAAAGAAGCAGAGGATAGGAAGAGGAAGTGAGAGAAAGAAGCGGCAGTGTACACTGCAGCAATGGCGCCTTTGTGGCCTTGCTTTGCACAACCAGCCTGGTGGCCTTGCGAGAGCATCACAACACACCACAAGCCCATTCGTCAAAGCAATTGGCTGACTGAAATCATGCATCAAGCAAGAACTCCAGCAAGATAAGATAATGGTGAGGGCTGTGGTTGCGCTCGCCTGTGCACTGCTTCCTTGCCAGTGTTCCTGTCACCGGGCTACCGAGGTGCGGGGCATGCTACTGAGGCAACTCCCTTGTTGCTTCGCCGCCTGTGCCTTGATTTCTCACGCATGCACTCACCTCTGTCGTGCTTGCCTTGCTTCACGCACTGCGGTGATGTGACTGCTGCGTTCCATTGTTACTCCGGAGATGGCAGGCAAGAGCAAAGAGCGGCGCGATAAAGAACAACGCGATATCGCGGACTGCAACATGCACCGTGTCAACCCCAGAGGCCAGGCAAAGGCGCAGCAAGAAGCAATGGACGAAGCCTGCTCTCAACCCTCTTGGGTGGTCTCGTCATTTTACTCTTGTGCACACCAGCTTCAACTCCGCAAAGGCGCAGACGAAGCCGCAGTGCTTGCGACCAAGCAGTTCATCTCTGTTGACAAACGACCATGAGGCTCATCTCGCCTTCCCTTTTCCGTGCAGGATATGCATTGGTCGTTCCTGCACTCCTGCTCCTCATCACCGGGCTTGCCAGCAACCCAGACTTTGCTCTCGCTGTAAGATGCCACACCTATTGTATTCGTGTGTGTGTGTGTGTGTGTATGTGTGCGTTTGTTTGCTTGTGTGTGTGTGCATTTGTTTGCTTGTGTGTGTGTGCGTTTGTTTGCTTGTGTGTGTGCGTTTGTTTGCTTGTGTGTGTATGTGTGCGTTTGTTTGCTTGTGTGTGTGCGTTTGTTTGCTTGTGTGTGTATGTGTGCGTTTGTTTGCTTGTGTGTGTGTGTGTGCGTGTGTCTGGACACGCATCAGAGCCACCCAAGCTCATATCTCTGCGTGTGTTCCCGTGTTGTGACCACAGGAGGTGATTACGGGGGAGGAGTTAACGCCTGCTGCGTTTATGAGCGAAGTGGTGTGTACGCCATATTAGTGACGCTCTTGTACGTTGTACGTGTTGCTCTGCGCTGTCTTACTTCTGATTTTTGTCACGTGCGCACCACTCAACACTCAACACCCAGCAAACGCTCACGCTTGCACAATCGAACGCGTGCGAATATGCTTGCAGGCACTGAGTGACTGCGGTAGACTCACGCCGGCCAGCGAGGGCTATCTGTTTGAGGGCGGCCATGCAACTGGGCTCAGTCGCGCACGCTGCCGCATCGGTATGCAGGTGCACCACGTGTGTGTTTCAGTGTGCATGTATGTGAATGTGTGTGTGTGTATGTGTGTGTGTATGTGTGCGTGCGTGCGTGCGTGTGCGTGTGTGTGTGTGTGTGTGT